ATCGTTAAGGTGGGGTCCAGGAGCACTCCCAAACTCCTAACCTCCGAAGCTGGCACCAAAGGTGCCCCATCGAAGGCCTGGAGTGGGAGCCCCAATCCCATACCACCCCGACCCAGGCACAGGACCCCCGTCTTCGCCGGATTCAGCTTCAGCCGGCTCAGCCTGAGCCACCCAGCCATGGCCTGTAAAGCCCGCTGAAGATCTTCTGGGTCGGAGTCTGACTGGCCACCCAACATCAGATAGAGCTGGGTGTCATTGGCATATTGATGACACCCAAGCCCATACCTCCGGACAATCTGGGCGAGGGGGCGCATGTATATGTTAAATAGCATCGGGGAGAGTACTGCCCCCTGGGGCACTCCGCATTCAAGCAGGTGCCTCCGGGACTGCTGCTCCCCTAGCCCAACCCTCTGTCCCCGACCTTGGAGAAAAGAGACAAGCCATTGAAGGGCGAGCCCCTGAATCCCCACGTCGGCAAGGCAGTGAGCCAGCAGCTGGTGGTCGACCGTATCAAATGCGGCCGACAGATCTAACAACAACAGCGCCGCCACACTGCCTCGATCCAGATGTCTACGGAGGTTGTCAGTAAGAGCAACCAGAACTGTCTCTGTCCCATGCCCCGGACGAAAGCCAGACTGGAATGGATCAAGGACGGAAGCGTCATCTAGAAATCCCTGTAACTGCGTCGCCACCGCCCTCTCCAAGAGGGACTTGTTGACAATCTCCCTTAAGGCACCTTGAAACCCCTCATGGCCCGCTTTAATGAGCCAGGAGGGGCACGGATCAAGGCCACAACTGGTTGGACACACAGATACAAGCACTCTATCAACTTCCTCCAGGCTGAGCCGGTCAAAGCCCTCCAAACTCGGCGAAACTGTGCAAGGGACCTCAAGTTCACTTACTGTATCAACTGTAGCGGGGAGGTCACAGCGGAGCGACAAGACTTTATCCGCGAAATAGCTCGCAAAAGCCTCACAGCCAGTATCCAATTCCCTACTGTTTTGTCTGCCCTGTGGCAGAGCTGTCAATGATCGAATCGTCCTAAATAATTGGGCCGGGCGTGAGCTAGCAGACGCAATCCTAGCTGCGTAGTAATCTCTCTTCGCAGCCTTGACTGCCATCTCATAGGATCTCATAAACGTCCTATAAGATGTTCTTGTGGCCTCGTCGCGAGCTCAGCGTCACCGTCTCTCCAACCGTCTGAGCTCCTATTTCATAAGCCGCAACCCCTGGGTATACCAGGGGGCCAGCTTAGAGCGAGGGCACAGAGGGCACCAGGGAGCGATCACGTCGATGGCCGTAGAAAGTCAGCTATGCCAGTCATCCACGAGCTCATCCAACGAGCCATCAGGGGGCATCAGATCCCGCAGAGCCATCTGAAGCCGCATAGGGTCCATTAGGCTCCATGGGCGAGCTAAAATCCGCTTGCCGCCTAAACGGGGTCAGGTCGGGACATTTGCACGAGCCTTCAGGGCATAGTGGTCCAACCATGGTACCGCTTTCGCAGTAATCCAGTCCACCCTAATCCCCACCGCGAAGATTAAATTGAGCATGTGCCCAGCCCGGTGTGTGGGGGTCGATACCCATTGGGAGAGTCCTAGTGATGCCATGGACGCCACTAGGTCCGTAGCCCAACTAGAGGTCGCGTCATAGGCTTGGACATTGAAGTCACCCAAGACTAAAAGCCTAGGGTGCTCCAGTGCCCAGCCTGCTACGGCTTCCAGTAGGGACGGCAGACTACTGGCCGGTGCATTAGGCGGACGGTACACCAGCCAGATTGTCAAACTCTCCTCAGCCTCTAGCACCAGACCAACACACTCTAAGCCCGCAATCTCCACCGTAGGGAGCGCCCTGAAGGAGTAAGCCTGATGATTGTGTATTACAGTACAGTATCTTGAATTCTCTTGCCTCCTGGAACTGCTAAACAAAAAAACTTATCCAGGCAGTTTCTACCTTGATGTGTTAGTTTCTCTTTATATTTGAATTCTGATTTTCACTATTGTCTAAATACAGGCCGGCTAACAGTGGGGATAATATACTTCTTGTATAACTGTAATTCTTACTCTGAGTGCTCCTCGGTTAGGTTTCCTAGTAACTCTGGGAGATTTTTGCCATTCCATTTTTAGTGCATGGTTCAACTCCCTTGCTAGAATCTTCTCTGCCTAAGGTCCCCCAGAGTCAGGGATGAATTACTTTGTGGTTTCTTATTTTAACATGTGGCATCCTGTGGTCCAAATTATATGGATCTGTTATGCAACATGCGGGTTGATCTGTCCTGAAGGTGTTGCGTCTGATGACCATCCTCTGAGTTTTGTCATCTGTGATATGTACATATAAACATTTATTTTAAACAAGCCCCAGATTAGCTGGGATTAGGAAGTATTTTGCATTTTGCTGAACTTTTTTTGTAACAGATGCATCTTGTACTACCTGCCACTGGATTTAAACTAACTGATAGGGTTGTCCACTCCGGGTTGGGAAATACCTGGAGATTTTGGGGGTGGAGACTGAGGTGGGTGGGGTTTGGAGAGGGGAGGGGCTTCAATGGGGTATAATGCCATAGAGTCTAACTTCCAAAGTGGCCATTTTCTCCAGGTGAACTGACTTCTGTCACCTGAAGATCAGTTTATAGCAGTGGGAAATCTCCAGCCATCACCTGGAGGTTGGCAACCTTATTAACCGGGCATGTGGGGCAAACCAAAGTTGGTCTCCTCAGAAATGTCCCATTTATTCAGTACAGTTTACTCCCAGGAAAGTATCCTTAAGACTGCAGTCTAGTTAGGCCAGTGGTATAAGACTGTATGTGAACTCATGTAAAACTAACAATACTGTTCATCTTTAATTTCAGCCCAAACTACATGCTGTAAACCATGACACTGTTTACTGTGGCAGAGATACTGTGAAGTTCTTTCTGATTTTTTTGGATGAGGCAGCTACCCACCTTCCTCCTACCAACAAAGCTGAATTATTTGATGATGAATTTGGGTCCCCCTCTACCCTGATGCTGTTCAAGTAAGCTAAATGTAGAAAATCAAGTCAGCAAGGAGGTTCAGAACTGGGATGTTTAGTTTTTTTGAAAGCCAAGGATTCGGGGCCACCTCACATAACAACTGTTTCCTTTACAGAGATTGTCTCCCTGTAGAAACAAAATACGTACATTGTCATCTGTAAGCTTTGGTTGGGTTGAATGTATAGATTGGGGAACTGATGCACACAGCAGCTTTAGCCTGTTCCTGACTGGAATGACTCTTGGGTGAGAGGATGGTGGGAATATTGGGTGTCAATAAAACATCAGTCTCCGAATCACCTGCTAGCAAGGGACAGATAACAGGTGTTAATGGTGTCCACATCTTGGTGCCCTTGGAGAAATCTTGACGCTAATAACAGTTCAGTTAAAAAACCATAACTTTAATGGAACAGTTAGCAAACTTAGACCTGCACCAATAATGGTCATTACAATCAGACATGCAAAATATATGTAACAACCCCCCCCCCAAGTTTCAGGTGGATAGGCGTGTTGGTCTGAAGCAGCGGAACAAAGTTTGAATCCAGTGGCACCTTTAAGACCAACAAAGTTCAGAAGTGTGGACACACACGAACGTTTGTTGATCTTAAAGGTGCCACTGGATCCAAACTTTGTTTCCCCCCCCCCCCCAAATAAGGTAAATGTGTGCACAGCAACAGCTCCAAAGAACCATCTAACTTTCTAAGGTTCAGTTGATCCAGTGTAGCAATGACAGTTGCAGGAGCTCCTATGCGCTTCTGCATATTACCTACCTACAAGAGCATTCGTCTCATGGCAAGAGTCTTAGTTGCACATGCATTTCTTGATGCATTTAAATTGGTTCCTTGGCATTAAAATGAGTGAAACACTCAGTCCAAAAAGCTTTAGAATGCAGGCTGATCAGGACAGTTTTTGGTCATCTGCCATGAAACGATTCCTCTGGGTATTTAAAATCAGAAACTTTAAATATACATATGCACAATATGAAAACCTTAACCCAGAAAATTTGTAGTATGTGTAGTTCTCATCATCATCACTGCTAATGACTCACTTAATCATTAATGCAGATCTCCAGCACAACCTAGCGGATCTTCTCCAAAAGCTTTAAGACAACGGATTCAAAGAGCAGTAGACAAAGGAAAACTTAAGGTACAGTAACTGCACCTCCCCAAGTATTTAAGTTATAGTCAGAGACTAATCAGGACTCTTTTTGTAGCAGGAGCTCCTTTGCATATTAGGCGACACACCCCTAATGTAGCCAATCCTCCAAGAGCTTACAGAGCTCTTCTTACAGGGGCTACTGTGAGCTCTTGGAGGATTGGCTACAGTAGGGGTGTGTCGCCTAATATGCAAAGGAGCTCCTGCTACAAAAAAAGAGCCCTGAGTCTAGTTGATTATGTATTTATATATTGCTGAATGTTTAGTGTTTGAATGGGAAGCACACTTTTTTGGGGGGGGGAAGCATGTGTTGGTACATGTCACCTGGTGCTGTAGCACTTCAGAAACCAAGGAGAAGATAGGATGTTCTGTGATGATTGGGGTCAGGGCCGGCTCGCTCATTAGGCGTTCGCCTAGAGCGGGCTGGCCCTTAGGGGCGCCAAACTGCACCTGGCCCCCTACCCAGCGCGGCCCATTCCTGCGACCTGCCAGCCTGTGGGAGGCTCCACCGGTAGGGGCCGAGAAAGGCACTGGGCGAGGCAGCAGCTGGGCAAAGTGGGTCAGTCGGTGCGGAAATCCTCTGGGCGGCGGCGGCACCCGAGGGAGGGTGGCAGCCCTAACCAGCAGGGGCAGGATGAGCCGGCCTTGGCGGGCGGGCGAGGGGAAAGAAAGAGTTGCCCGACAGCAGCCGAGGTAAGGAACGCCGCCCCCTCCTCTCTCTCTCGCTCTCTCAGAGTCTGGGAGGAAACTTTCAGGCCCTGCGTGATGCCTTGCCGGAGGATCCCCACCCGGGGGGTCGGACTCCCCCCTGGCCATTTCCGCCTGCTGCAAAGCCCCTTCTTTGCCTCATGTCTCTCGTCGGAACCAGCGGAGACCGGTGTAGAGGGCTGCTGAGCACTGCCTAAAGTGCCCTGGTTACAGTCCTGTGCAATGTTCCCTCTAAGCTGTGGAGTCCTGTGAGCAAAAATACTACTTTCTGACTCTGAGCTACTGGCATTACGGGGGGGAGGTGGGGCGGCGTGGGGGGGCGATGCACGGGGAGGGGGCGGCCCATGGGGGGGCGCCAGAAGGGATCCTTGCCTAGGGTGCAAAATAAGCTGGGGCCGGCCCTGATTGGGGGGTCAGACCTTCCCTAAAAGGAAAGTCTGAAAAGTCTGAGACTTCTCAGTTTAGAAGATGACTAAGAGGGAACATGATGAGGGTTTATAAAATTATGCAGGCAGTAGAGTGAGTTGACAAAGAGAAATTTTTCTCCCTCTCCCAAAATACTAGAACTCGAGGGCATCCAATGAAGCTGATGGGCAGTAGGTTCAGAATGGACAAAAGGAAATACTTCTTTAGACAACAAATGATTAAAATGTGAAATTAAAATGCTGCCAGAGGATGTAGTGATGGCCACAGGTGCAGACAGTTTTAAAGGGGGATTAGACAGATTCATGGAGGATAGCTATTATCAGTGGCTACTAGCCATGGTGACTGAAGGGAACCTCCATGTTGAGATGCACTAAACCTCTGAACCTCAGAGCCAGGAGGCGACATCAGGGGAAGGCCTCAGTTTCTATGTCCTGTTGCTGGGCCTCCAGAGGCACTGGTTGGCCACTGTGTGAGACAGGATGCTGGACTAGATGGACCCCCACTGGTCTGATCCAGCAGGGCTCTTCTTATGTTCATTTGTCATTCAGCAGCAGCTCCTGGGGAGCTGCTGGGAAAAGGCAGGAAAGATCCATTTCCACAAACTCGCTTTGTTTGTGTGACTTCAATTTAACCAGGTATTTATCTACATATTTTAAAACAGCCACTTATGCAGGAATATAAGCAACATCCCTCTAGTCAAAAAATCAAGTTGTTATAAGATAATGATAAAATAGTTGGTAAAACGCCCCTTCCCCCCAGAGTGTGAACTACACTCTACATTTTATTTTTACATTGAGTGTTGCATTTTATGTAGTCAAACAGGTTAAGAAATTTCCGGAAATACAGGAAACAGTCTTGGTCCTGATCCTTTTACGCAAAAGTTCGCATGATTTCATTGATCTTTTCTCAAAACATATGCCAGAATGTTTGGGCTGGAGTTTCAACATGGAGAAAAGAAAACCTAAAAATGAATAAATAAAAAAAATAAACATAGGGCTTTGCCTAACTAACCTGTGGCCTGATTATTTATAACATTCTACTGCCTGCACTTCATTCTTGACACAAACCCATTATTCTCCTGACATATTTCCCATATCAGGTATTATTATTTTCCATTCTGTAGCTAAGGTTCTTTGCCAAACTTTAGCAAGCTTAATGTTTCTTAGGATTTTACACTGTACTGAAATCTTCCACGGATTTTTTTTAAAAATGCTGTAAAGCAGAGTATTTTAATGTGTTCTGTAAAAGCTGATTATTTTTGTTCATTCTTTCTGTAGGAAACACCTCAAAAACAGGTCTGGATCTGAGCAGTACTTTGAGTGTTTTAGCTAAGAACATAAGAGAAGCCAATGTTGGATCAAGCCAATGGCCCATCCAGTCCAACACTCTGTCACACAGTGGCCAAAAATACCAGGTGCCATCAAGCGGTCCATCAGTGGGGCCAGGACACTAGAAGCCGCCCCACTGCCGCCCCCCCCCCCCAGCACCAAGAATACTGAGTATCATTTGCCCTGGACTGAGAGTTCCTATCTATACCTTGTGGCTAATAGTCACTGATGGACCTCTGCTCCATATGTTTATCCAATTCCCTTTTGAAGCAGTCCATGCTTGTAGCCGCCGCCACCTCCTGTGGCAGTGAATTCCATGTGTTAATCACTCTTTGGGTGAAGAAGTACTTCCTTTTATCCATTCTAACCTGACTGCTCAGCAATTTGAGTGCCTATGAGTTCTTGTATTATGAGAAAGGGAGAAAAGTACTTCTTTCTCTACCTATGCATAATCTTGTAAACCTCGATCATGTCACCCCTCAGTCTTTGTTTCCCCAAGCTGAAAGCCCCAAGCGCCTTAACCTTTCCTCATAGGGAAAGTGTTCCAACCCTTTAATCATTCTAGTTACCCTTTTCTGCACTTTTTCCAGTGCTATAATATCCCTTCTGAGGTGTGGTGTCCAGAATTGCACACAGTATTCCAAGTGAGGTCGCACCATCGATTTATACAGGGGCATTATGATACTGACTGATTTGTTTTCAATTCCCTTCCTAATAATCCGCAGCATAGCATTGGTCGTTTAAATTGCAGTTGCACACAGTTTCGACATGTTCATTGAGTTATCTACTATGACTCCAAGATCCCTCTCTTGGTCAGTCTCTGCCAATTTGGACCCCATCAACATGTATGTATAGTTAGGATTTTTGGCCTCAACGTGCATCACTTTGCACTTGGCCACATTGAACCCCATTTGCCACGTTGACGCCCACTTGTGCATCCTCGACAGATCCCTTTGGAGTGCCTCACAATCCTCCCCGGTTTTCACCACCCTGAACAACTTCATGTCATCCGCAGATTTAGCCACTTCACTGCTTACTCCCAACTCCAAACCATTAATGAACAAGTTAAAAAGCATCGGACCCAGTACTGATCCCTGTGGTACCCCACTGCTTACCACCCTCCACTGAGAAAATTGCCAATTTATACTCACTCTCTGTTTCCTATTAATTAGTCAGTTTTTGATCTACAAGAGGACTTGTCCTTTTATCCCATGATTTTTGAGCTTACTTAGGAGCCTTTGATGAGGAACTTTATCAAAAGCTATCTGGAAGTCAAGGTAAACAGCATCTATTGGGTGCCCCTTGTCCACATGTTTGTTCACCCCCTCAAAGAACACTAACAGGTTAGTGAGACAAGATCTTCCCTTACAGAACCCATGCTGAGTCTGCCTCAATAGTTTTTATTCCTCAACGTGCCTACTAATTCTTTCCTTAATAACAGTTTCCACCAGACTGACTGGCCTGTAATTTCCCTGATCTCCTCTGGAATCCTTTTTAAAGATAGGAGTGACATTAGCTACCTTCCAGTCCTCAGGAATGGAGGCAGATTTTAATGAAAGATTACCTATTTTGTCAGGAGATCCACAAGTTCACATTTGAGTTCTTTCAGAACTCTTGGATGTATTTAAAAGATGTTGCAACTCTATTTTTTGTATAGTCATTGTACATGACTCAAGGTTGCCAACTTTGGAGTGGGGAATTCCTAGAAACATGGGAGGTTTGGGACCTCAGCGGGGTATAATGCGATAGAATCCACTCTTCAAAGCAGCCATTTTCTCCAGGAGAACTAATTTTTGTCGTGTGAAGATCAGTTGTAATTCTGGGAGATCTCCAGGTTCCGCCTGATGATTGGCAGCCTCAATATGTGTTATGTCAGACCCAAGCATTAGTAAGTGTGGGCCTGAAATAAGCCAGGCTTCTCTCATCAGCTTGGGACAGAAAAGCACTAGCTATATAGAGCAGCTACTGAAAGGATGCCAATACCTCTTTTGCTTTGCATGAGTCAGAAAGAGAGAGTGTCTTAGTGACCCTGGGAGAGATAGCTAAAGGTGCGCTTCAGATTGTCATGTAGTTCACAACAACCTCCTCCTTTTTTCAGGACTTGGGAGACAGTTAAAGCAGGTAGCTTATTGAATGCCTGGCGGGTTACATTGGTTTTGGGGTTTTATAGGTTCCATAGGTGAAGAGTCTTGTCTTGGGATTGCGCCTTTCATTTTGCCCTCATTTATTTATTTCTGGGGTTGCTTCTCTTGACATAGCCTTTGCAGGTTTTGCAGCATAGTTTTATTGACAGTGCCAGATGAATTACATGCTTGGGGGTGCGTGCGTGTTGCTACCACAGGTTTAAATTCATGTCTCATTGGAACAGCCAGGCAACAGAATGAGTGTGCTGTTTGTGAGCCTTGGATTCCTTTGATAGTTCTTTCCCTTAACCTCAGGTGGCCCTGAAATTTTACATAGCTGTGTACTCTGATGCTGTCAGTGCCATATTTGCAAATGTTGGTTTCTTGAACAGGCGGCACATTTTAACTGTTTCTGCAAATTCTTAGAAACCTGCTTTCTGTAGTATTGTACCTGGTGTATCATTAATGTTTGTGCTGAACTAATGTTAGCGCCAAACTTCAAATTTGACAATTATAGATCTTTGTTATGTTTCAAGTATTTCTCCAGGGAAATGAATAATCTTATACATTTGTTTCAGCTTCAAGCTTCAGATCTTTGGAATTAAGCATAACACAGGATTACTTCCCCCCCAAAGTATGGAATTTAGAAGTTATTATTTGGCTTTTTTGTTGCCCTGTGCAAGTATAAACAGCCTGCACATTTGGCTTGGTTAGATTCCGCTATGTTTATTTATTTATTTATTTATTAGATTTCTATACCGCCCTCCCAAAGGCTCAGGGCGGTTCACAAGCGGCAAAGCCGGAATCTAAAATACAATAAAACACACAATAAAATACAATAATTAAACTACAGTAAGCAACCTAAAACACTACATCATCAGTCAAGGTGGAGACGATCTTCCAACTTGGTGGCCAGCCATTACCAGTACGCGGTCTCCCCGCTAAGCTGTCAAACTTCAGCCTGGGCATAACTGTCCCACCTTCGTAGGGCAGCCAATGACATACTATCTCGTTGGTAGGATAGTGGCGGCAGCGGCTCCTACACAAATGCCTGGTGGAAGAGCTCCGTCTTACAGGCCCTGCGGAACTTGCAGGGGTTTCTTACATATCATGGTTTGAGGGAAAGGAAGGCAACATGGTACAGCCTGGTCTCATCAGATCTCGGAAGCTAATTAGGGTCAGCCCCGGTTAGTACTTGGGTGGCAGACCTCCAAGGAAGATCACAGAGGAAGGCAATGGAAAACTACCTCGGCTTCTCACTTGCCTTGAAAGCCCCTTGCCGAGGTCACCATAAGTCGGCTGCGACTTGACATCACTGTATGCACACGCACATCATGGTTTGAAGCAGAATTTTAAAGATCAGAGCTGAGCCAATATGAGTAGGACCCATTCTGTGTACTGAGCAAATCCTAAACCCCTGACTCTTTTTGTCTTCAAATGAGTTACACCCATATCCTCCCCAGACAGATTCGTTTGTCTTCCTCCATCGTTGTCTTCTGCTAGCGGGCGAAGACTTTTTTGTTTTGTTTGGCATTTCCTTACAAACTATTAGCTCTGCTACCTGTTGGTGTGTTTTTGTTGAATTGTTTTAAACATTTTATATCTATATGTTTGTATTTTAATGGCTGCTTTTAATGTTTTAATGTTCACTACCTTGGGGACTTGGAGTTGGTTGGAAAGGCAGCATAGAAATGCTTTAAATAAAAATCTTGAAGATCCCTTGAAATTAGAAGAGTGTAACTGTGTTTAGCAATGTTATGTTAATCTGAAATTTACATTTTTGTGGGGGAGTATAATGTTTGTTCTTTTAGGCCACTCAGTATGTAACATATTTGCATGGGGGTCCTTGAGAAGCAGGACCTCCAATGAGGTTGGGGGGGGTAGAAAAAATCAGTTACATGAGTTTATAAAATTACCCTTTAACGCTACATTTGAGAAGAGTTAATTTTATATAAAAATGAAAGAGATAGTTACACACGAGTTACTTGCTATGTAGTTTACTTTCTGAGCCAAGGAATTCAAAGAACCCTTTGCAATGTTTACAGCTGATCATAATTGCTGTTCTTTTCCTTTAGCTGAAGCAACCTCTAATTCGGTCTCAGTTTGCTTGCACCTACAAAGATGACCAAACATTTGAAAAGAAGGACCATTTCTTCAGCACTAGCCAGATCCCAACATGCGTACATCCAGCACCCAAAGAAAGGACAGCTCTGTGCCCTGTAGATGAATCAAGTGCAGGTAAAAAAAAAAATACACAATAAGCTACTCAAAATCTCTTCTTTTCCCCCTTTGAAGCTGCACCTGTTTAGTGAGCTGAAAAGATTAGCATCAGTGCCATCCTGTGCAGAGATATACCCCTCTAAGCCCATTGACTTCAGTGGATTTAGAAGGGAGTAATTCTGTCTAGGATGGCACTGTGAGTTGCCTACGGTTGCAGTCCTAGGAACACTTTTCAGGGAGACTCAAGACGAGCAAAATAAGACTTGCTTCTGAATAGACCGGTTTAGGTTTAGTCTGTAATTCAAATTAATCTAAGATGAACTGACTACTTCTAAGAGCTTCATTTAACCACAAACGTTCAAGTGTTAAAATCTATTAGGCTCTACTGTTGCGGGAAATAGCATTGCTTTATTAGCACTGGTATTTACTGCTGCCTTGCATCCATGTTATCTTCTGCAAGCAAATCATTGCTAGATCTGCATTTGTAATGGTTATCTAATGCACAAGTCCGGCAGGCATAGTCACTGTGATACCAGTAAGTAGGAAAGCACTCTGGGATGGCTGCTATTTAGTCAGTGGTCATCAGGGTCACCCTTTATGTTGGTCTACTTTTGTATGCCAAAATAAAATTGGTACTGCTCACGTGCAAAACAAAATAACTTAGGGGGAACTGTCCCCTTATGAAAGCTGTGCCCTAAACATTTTTTGAGAATATTTTTTAATTCCATAGAGTTTTAAGACCTGCTGTCTATCACTGTGCCAAACAAAAGAATAACGATTCTTTTCAAAGGCAACGTATGGCTAATAACTGAATTTAATTTGCTTTGCTTAAAAATTGTTGCATGATACTTTATAGATTTTAGTTACTTAACGTTTAGTTTCTCCTGTCCTTTGATTTCTGTGTGTGTGTTCATTTCCTGGAGTGCTGCTGAAATGTTATTCCCTTAACCAACAGAATGCCTCCGTTCCCATCTTGCAAGTGCTGCGCTTGGAACTAGTTCTGGAAATGTTCATCAGAATGGAAGCAGAAGTAAAGAAATAGGAAAATTCGGTTGCCAGCCAAGAAACGAGAGCTCAAAGAGAAAGCAGGTGGATAGGACTAGTGAAAATGTCATAGGCACTAATGAAAATGAATCACTTCAACACGTACATAGAAAGAAACCAAAGGCTGCGGTGAAATGCCAGAACAGTTTGGACAGCAAAATTAAAGGAGCAGGAAAATGTAACAAAATTGCCGCAAAAAACAAACTGATTGTCGGTCAAGCAAAGCTAACTCATTTCTTTAAATTGTAAATGTTGTCCTTGTGTGTTGCTTATGGCAACTAATTATGGCCTTGAAATCTTGGGAAAGAAGCAAGCATCAGCTGAATGATCATCTTGCTTTTGCTGTGATTATAAATTACTAAGCAAGGTTAGCGTAAGTACAATATTTGCACAACAAGATCAGTGTTTTTGCAGAAGTATCAGTTTTAATAATGCGATATAATCAGTACAGTTATTTGATCATGTGTCATTGTTCTGACATACAAATATTTAGACACTCCCCACACCGCAAAATACACGCACAGAGTAAACATTTAAACTACAGCATCATTTAATTTTCATGAAAATGGTTTTCTTTGTTTCAGACTTCATCCTGCAGTCATGCTTCAGACTTGCCAACATGGTCGATAGACTCTTCCCAGCATACACCTGAGCACTGTACAAAACACCCCCAGACATTTTGGTTTGTCAGGAAAATAGTTAGCTGGCATATAATGTTGGTGATAAATTGGCGTTTGAGTGCACATTCATCACTAATGGAGTGCTGTATATTTTTACTGACTTTTTCCCCCTCTCTACTTCAGATATTTGGAAATGTTTATCTAATAAATGTTTGTTTGGAAACAGAAATGACATTAATTTTTTTGCTTTACAGTTATTATATGACTGTACTGAAACCATCCAGTGGAGTTATGGTCTGAAATAATCTGAAAATTATACTTACTGTCAAAATCTCTTCTTCCGATAGGTATTTTAGCTGAATTTTCGTCATCTCCCGTCTCTCTCCTTTCTTGTATTGATTCAATACTTTGAACTTCAGCTTCAGCTGGAAAAGCCACAGGTGCCTCCAGCGAAAAATAAGGAAGCTGCTTAAGAGGCAGGTTCAGTGGTCGGCCATGGCTTATGTCGTGGTGCTTAGAGCCTGTGTTCTGTATTTTGAAGAGAACATGAACTTTTGAGATATAGTGAGAAGATGTTAATAACAGCTTCCAAATATGTGGAAGTGCTTCAGAGGCCTCCACACAACACACACACACCCCATTCCCACAGGGTCTTTCTGATTGCAACTTTTCATGCTTTTTCAAAGGCTTCTTCTGGACAGAAAACCAATATACAGAAGCACCTTGGGTGTATTTGAAACCCAGCAGTCATCGAAAGTTGGGAACTTCAGCTTTCAACGTGGGTCCATGATATAAGATTCTGTAGGCAACATATGTGTATCCTAGCCCATATCCCATAATATTATCCTATATCCTATAATATTAATGGATCAGGATGGCACCCTAAGGGTATGGCTTTGTTTGTCCTAAATTAGAGCATTAAATAGTCCCGCTTAGCCCAAATTTGTCATAGCTTGGAAACTAAGCAGGGTTAGCCCTGGTTAGTACTTGGATGAGAGATCACCAAGAAAGACCAGGGTTGCTACGGGGAGGAAGGCAACGGCAAACCCCAACCACTCCTTAACATCTCTTGCCTTAAAAACCCAACGGTGTCCCCGTAAGTCAGCTGTGACTTGATGGCACCTTCCACGACCGCAGCATTAAGAGTATTTGTTAAGAGAAAAAAGAGACGGTCTTTTTTTGTTCTGTTCTCCTAAGACACCTTGAAACTTAATACAGGTTGAGCTAATCTATGCAATCCAAAGCAGAGTTACACCCTTCTGAACCCATTGAAGTCAATGGGCATAGAAGGGTTGGATTGCACTACAAAGTTGGCAGTTGTCGTTCAGAAAAACTACATTTGCTTAAAGTTTTCAAATATACTGATTATTTAAAAAGAAATAATGTTGGGAGAATAAGCTCTTCAATCTCAGCCCCAGTGGTCGTAGCTGAAACAATCCCCCCATTGCAGCCCTAAACAGAGTTCCATCATTCTAAAGCCTTTGCCTTTCATTGGTTTAGAAGGGCATAACTCTGTTTTGGATTGTCCTGCTAATACGTTGGATAATTTCAGCTACACCACAAATGGCTTTTTAAACGCAACTGCTAAAAAGAGGAAACTCACTGAGAACACTGGGGCTCCATCGTCCTCTTCATTCAGAAAACTGCTGTCCTCAGTTTTGTAATGTTCGAGAGAAGATGCAGGCCGTGACTTTTCAGCTTTGCCAGCATTCTGGATTACTTTCCCAAGACTGAATGTACTCAATAGCATGTCGTCTTCTGCTTTTCGCACCGACTTTGAAACAGAAAGTAAGAAACCTTGGGAAAAGAGAGAGAAAATTAGTATTAATGCATAGGATGAGAAACGCATTCTGAAATGCTTAACGCGTGCATAGAAGTGTATCAAGCTCAAATCTTATTTGAGAGACGCTTCCTTGGGAAATTAATGTATTCCACTGAAAAAGCTATCTTTATATAACCTGTAGAATGAATAGAAATCACTTCAGTGGCTTCCTTACTGTTCAGATGGCCCTCAGGGTGATCTTTTGCATATTATTAACTTTCTTTTATTTTAAACCGTGGGTGGTAAGCTTCCTTATTGTAATCTTAGGGTATTTTGGATTATTGTATGTCAAACATGATGGGGCATCAAAAATCTCTGTAACGGTCTTTTCAAAATGGACCTTAATTTCCACTTAAGATAATTTCAGAAAAGACCTAATTTGCACATGTGTAGAGGAAAGGGGGGGGGGAATCCTGCTCTGTAATGCTCTACAAGGAAAGGCTAAAGCGATTGAGGCTTTCTAGTAGAGAAAAAGTCAGCTAAAGGAGTCAGATATAATACAGGATTATAATGCTGGGAATGTAATGGAGAGAGGGGAATCATAGAATCACAGAGTTGGAAGGGTCCATACAGGCCATCTAGTCCAACCCCCTGCTCAATGTATTATTCATTTTTCGTAATACTAGAATTTGCAGGCACTTTTTGATTTGTAGCAGGCTCAAGAAACACAAAAGGAAGTACAGCAGATATCACAGAAACCCATATTCCCTGGGGTTGACATATGAGCTTCAGCAGCTTGTAATTCTACCGTTCAACACTGACATTGACATTTATAAAAAGGTAAAGGTAAAGGTTTCCATTGCTTGAAAGCCAGTCGAATCTGACTCTAGAGGGCGGTGCTCATCTCCGTTTCCAAGCCGAAGAGCCAGCGCTGTCCGAAGACTTCTCCATGGTCATGTGGCCGGCATGACAAAACGCTGAGGCGCACGGAACGCTGTTACCTTCCCACTGAAGCGGCACCTATTTATCTACTTTAAATTTCTTGCTTTTGAACTGCTAGGTTGGCAGGAGCTGGGACCAGAGACAGGAGCTCATTCCGTTACACGGCACTAGGGTCTCGAACTGCCGAGCTACCGACCTTCCGGTTCTGCAGTTCAGCATCTTAACCTCTGAGCCACCATGGCCCCCTTTGACATTTATAGCCCTGAATTCTTCTCTGGTATGGACTGTACATCTGAGCCAGGGAAGAATTCCCCACCTACTTTATGATGACACTGGCTACGGCTGGGAAGTGGCCACCTAGTAGCCATAGAGTCTCCCTTGTGGAAACCTTCTTAACCCCCAACCTTTGACTCAGTTCAATCCAGCTTCAGGCCTGGGTTCTAAACTGCAACAGCTTTAGTTGCACTGTTGCACAGGGACGGTCATCCCTGTTGATCTGTGTTGACCTTTCCATCCTTATACTTCAGTTAGAATATGGGGTTGCTATTAGGAGCGCAGCTTTTTGGTGGCTTCAGACTTTTCTGTCTTTTTTTTTCATGAAACTTTTTTATTTTTTCAGTGGACAAAAACAGACATAACAAATACACATGAAATGGGGGTTAGATATAAGTATCTATATCATCTAGCTGTCATCTCCTGCAATGTTTACTACAATTATTATCACCAAATAGTTTTGCATAAGTGTTCTGCATATTAATATGGAAATGAAGGCTCCTAAAATGTTCATATGTCTATATTGTTTATTTGTAATAGTCTTCCAACCATTTATAAAATCTTGACCATGTATTGCAGAAACTTCCTCCTTCTTGTCCTCTCAAAATTAAATTTTCCTTGTGATTGGACGCTTTCCACTGGAGAAGCAGAATTAACAGGGTGGGATTTGTCTTGGGGGTGGGAGGGTGGGAGTGCCACATTATCTCACCCATGTTCTTCAATACTTACATGAGGCCACTGAATGAGATTGTCCAGAGCACCGATATGCAGATGACGCCCAGGTTGATACTTCATTATCCAAGCCTCCAGATGTGTCTGTCTTGACTCTGAATTTATGCATTGAAGCTGAATCCAGAAAAGACAGAGATGATGCTAGTAGGTCAGGCTGATGTTTTAGATGGATTGGATCCACTTGTAGTAGATTGTGCGGAGTTGGCATCTGCAGAACAGGCTGAGAATCTGGGGCTACTCATGGACCCAGTGTTGCTGTTTCAAAAGCAAGTCAGTGTAGTGGCCAAGAGTGCCTTCTGTCAGCTGCGTCTGGTTCACCAACTCTCTCCTTTCTTAGACTCGATCAATCTGGTCAAGCTGACCCATGGTTTTGTAACCTCACAGTTGGACTGCTGTAATGTGCTCTGTGTTGGGCTGCCCTTGAAGACACCTCAGAAACTGCAGCTGGTCCAGAATGCGGTAGATCAGTTATCATCAGGGGCTAGCCAATAGGAACATATCTCATTCATCTTAGAACATCTACATTGGCTGCTAGTTTGTTTCCGAGTCCAATTCAAAGTGCTGGTTATGACCTTTAAAGCCTTTTAAGGCTTAGGACCCATGTACCTAAAGGGCCATCTCTTCCCATATATCCTTGTGTGCCAACTACAGTCTTCAGGCTGTCCCCTACTGCCTCACTTAAGGTGGTCTGCCTGGCATCAGCCAGAACCAGTGCTCTTTCCACTGTAGCTCCCACTTAGTGGAATGGGGCCTCCCTGAGGAGGTGAAGGGAACTTATGAAACATGAGCTTCATCTCCAGAAATTTTCAGGAGTCTATACAAGGCTATTTTATTTGCCAGGACTTCTAGTGGGGGTATAAAGTGCAGGCATCTTTGGGGAGAAGGGTGTTATCTGGGGTTTGATTTTGTTGGCTTTAAAT